TTTTTTTTTTCATCCACGTCAGAAAAAAAAATATTTTCTTCCTCTCCAGATTTGGGATTTTCCCAAATCTGGGTTTGTCTCAAGAACTTCAACTCGAAAGCAACGTTTGTTGTCCTCTCCTCTTCCCTTATGTACACAAACCAAATGTTCTTCTCTTCGGTTACAATGTTCATAAAAGAGTTTCCGTTTCTACCAATTCCTTTTGTCTTTCGTTTTACGCGTCCCTGCGACGCTAACCCTAGACGATGAAGTTCGTTCTACACCGATCAACAACTCTGCTATTTTTCGATGTCCAAGGAGCCAAGTCACTGTTCTTAGTTTCCCCAAGATCTTGAACTCTCCTGATCTGTAAATCTTTCACCTATCTTTGGTAACAATTTTGAGAAAAACCCAGATCTGGGTTTTTCTCAAACCCAGATCTGGGTTTTATCACAGACGTTCCCAATGTTGCTTTGCCTCTGCTTTATTGTCACTTTCTTTATCATCCATTTGGTTCTTGATTCCTTTTGGCAGGTTGTAGGATTAGGCTTTCGATAACCAATTCCAGTTGTTTGATACAACAAGCTCAGATGGAACTTCGGTGGTGTCGTCGAAGAGTTCTATGCTCGATTCACTTCTTTGCTAGAGTTTTCTCAAACTTCTGGTGATCTTTCCTCATCAACAAATTCCTACTGTACGCCATTGCCTACTTTTATTTGGGTTTGAGAAATTGAAGAGTCTGCTTGATTCACTTCTTTGCTTGAGTCCACGTGATGCAGTGCTCAAAACTGTTATTTTGTGGTTATGTTGTTTGGAATTTGTTGTGGCAGAGATGCTCTTTATAAGGTATTTGGTTTGGATTTTTGTAGATCTACAAATATAAGGTTTGGTTTGGATTTAAACCATGGACTACAATGTGATGCAATGCTCAAAACACATTATTTTTGCAGATCTGGGTTTGAGAAAGGATAAGAAAAAACCTCATGTCGGCGCAGATGAAGAAGATTGCCTCTTTTCTCGCTCATGTCGGCGCCAAAACTTCTTGTGAATAGTGTATTTCTATTTTGAATTTGATCCATTATGAAGTTCAGTGCGCATTTAGCTAGATCTGGCAACTCTTAGGTATAGAAATTCTGTTTGGCTGCTAGGAAAGTGGTAGGAACTGAGAAAAATTATTATTTGATTCTGGGATTTTTTTGGCCACAATTTTTATTTCCTAAATAGCTCTCTTAAGATCAATCATTTTAGATTTGGTAAATGGGATGATCTTGCAAATATTAATGGTCTGTCTAATCTATTGTTTCCATTGTATCTGGTAAGAATGGATTATGGATTTGATACCTTCAATTGCTTGTTCAATCCTAAAACCCAGATCTGGGTTTAAGAGAGGAAGAAGAAGGGAGAAAAGAGAGAGAGAGAAAGAATACGAAGAAGAAAGAAGAAGGACGAGCAAAGAAAGATAGGTGGAAAGGAGGAAGAAGATGAAGTTTGAGAGAGAACCCAGATCTAGGTTTACAGAGGTAAGGGAAAAGGAAAGGTAATGGAGAGAGAAAGTGAAAGAGGAAAAAGAGATGACGTGGATGGAGAAAAAGGATTACAAAATTTTTAAATTAAATAAAAATGCCACCTTGTAAGAAAAGATGGTCAACTGTGTTTTTTTTTTTCCATGTCATTAATCAAGTAAAAAAAGAATTGATTTGCTGGCATTTTAACGTGCCACATGTCATTTAACTGACGGAAGGATCATTTTGGTACTAAAAATGAAAGTCTGAGGATAATTTTGGTACTTTTTAAAGTTGAGGGACAATTTTGGTACCAAAGTGAAAAGTTGAGGGATCAAAATGGTACTTAAACCAAATATAAAGGCAAAATTATTTTGGACCGTCATCGGTCCAGAATATCATAAGCACACATCCGGCGCCCAAACTAAAAAGTTTTAAATAGCCGTAAATTTTTGGCAGATTATTATTTCAGATCGCTATTGGTTTGGAAATTGTCAAAAAATTTAAAGTTTTCGCATTTGAAATTTTTAGTAGAAATTGGCAGCAAACCTATTCAGACCAAAGTTGGTTTGAACAACATAACCTCAAACAAAAAAACATAGAATTATGAAAATATATATTTAATAAAAAAGAAAAGGTAATATTCAGATCATTGTTAGTCCAAATAAGTTTTTCGGACCAATAGTGGTCCGAATAAGTGCAGCATCACATTATTATTATTATTTTTCCTAAACCGTGGAAGATTCGTTTTACCCCTATTCATGCAACATGCTTTAAAAGTCATGAATGCTATGAAATCAAGCTTTAAAATTAGCAATACCAAGCTTACATGTTTTTCACTTAGGAATGGCGTGACATAATATTAAAAGTAATGCTATTACCTTTACGCATTTGCGATTTTTCAATGATGTTGCATTTCGCCACTATGAATCCATTTTGAGAGACTAACTAATCCTGTCGGGCTTATGAGCGACTATAGTAGTGAAGTGCATGCATCGGGTTTTGGTGGAAACGGAATCAAGACTCTTTTCGGTGTGATTGTCCTTAAATGAAAAGAAGGAAAAAGTCTCACAGCAGAAACTTCTAGATTCTGTTGCACTTATTTGGACCATTGTTGATCCAAATAAGTTTTTCGGACCAATAGTGGTCTGAATAAGTGTAGCAGTACGTTTTTATTTTTTATTTTTCCCTAAACTGTGCAAGATTCATTCTACCCCTGTGCACGCAACATGCTCCAAAAGTCATGAATATAATGGAATCAGCCTTTAAAATTAGCAATACCAAGTTTACATGTCTTTTACTTAGGAACTATGTGGCATAACCTTAAAAGTAATGTTGTTACCTTTACGCATTTGTAATTTTGCAATGATGTTGCATTTCCCCATCGTGAAGCCATTTCAAGAGACTAACTGATCATGTCGGGCTTAGGAGTGACTGTAGTAGTGAAGTGTATGCATCGGGGTTTTGGTGGAAACAGAATCGGGACTTGTTTCGATGGGATTGTCCTCAAATAAAAAGAAGGAAAAAGTCTCATAGTAGAAACTTATAGATTCTGCTGCACTTATTTGGACCACTGTTGGTCCGAATAAGTTTCCGGACCAATAGCTTATTCGGACCAACAGTGGTCTAAATAAGTGCAACATCACATTTTTATTATTTTTTTTCCCCAAACTGTGGAAGATTCGTTCTACCCCCATGCAAGAAACATGCTTTAAAAGTCATGAATACAATGGAATCAAGCTTTAAAATTAGCAATACCAAGCTTACATGTTTTTTGTTTAGGAATGATATGACATAACCGCAAAGGTAATACTATTACCTTTACGCGTTTGTGATTTTGCAATCATGTCGCATTCTACCATTGTGTAGTCATTTCAAGAGACTAACTGATCATGTTGAGCTTAGGAGCGGCTATAGTAGTGAAGTGCACATATCGGGTTTTGGTGGAAACGAAATCAGAACTCATTTCGGTGGGATTGTCCTTAAATAAAAATAATGAAAAAGTCTCATGGCTGAAACTTTTAGATTCTGCTGCACTTTTTTGGGCCATTGTTGGTCCGAAAAAGTGCAGGAGAACATTTTTATTTTTTATTTTCCCAAACCGTGCAAGATTCGTTTTACCTCTGTTCACATAACATGCTCTAAATGTCTTGAGTGCCATTGAATCTCACTGTTAAATGAATAATGTTAAGTGTATATGTTTGTAGTTTTGGTAGAAACAGAGTTGGAGATTTAGATTGTGGTATTGTCCATAAATGAAAAAAATAAAAAATTGTGTGACTAGATTATTTAAATTTTATTCAGACCACTTGCAATCTGAATAACATAATTCGAATAGTTTGCAATCAGTAAATATTGTCCATTTCAGCAGGTAGGTTGTTGCCCCCTATACCAAAAAGAAATATATATATATATATATATATATATATAT